CACCAACCACCGCCCGTAGTGCCCCATACCCATCAGCCCACAAAACCCTCGCCCGCTATCCTAACACCACACATCCGCTATCCCATAACAACACCCAAACTCCCGCGATCCCAATCCACCACATCCCGGATCCCCGATACACTACCACACCAAATTCCGCTTCCCTACACCACCAATCCCGTTCCCATAACCACCACCACACATCCCCGTATCCGCCTAACACCTACAACAACCCGCGAGTCCGCTAACCACCACCCAACTCCGTTCCCAATACATCACCCAAACAATCCCTTACTCCCTATACCACCACCCAACACCCCGTATCCCATACCAACCACCCAAACCCGTAATCCCTATACCACAACACATCCCCGTATCCTCCCACACCCAACACGCCTGCTCGCGCGGGTTTCTGTCTGTCCGTCGGCATAGGCACCCAACCCCCGTAATCGCATAAACCACACCCAACTCCCCGATATCCCCATTCCACACAACATCCGCTACTCCATACCCCACCAACACCCCGTATCCCATACCCACACCCAACATCGTAGCCCATACCCACACCACCCAACATCCGCGTTCCCCCATACAGCACCCAATCCGCTATTCCCCTACACACCACACCGGTATCCCCATAACACCACCAACATCCCCGATTTCCCAGATACCACCAACCCGACATCTCGGGTGGGTATCCTATCTCGTGCGGTCTCCCCATTCCGTAATCCCATACCACCAACCAACTCCACGTATCCCCTAACCCACACCCAATCCCGTGCATCCCCATACCCACCACCCAACATCCCCGTATCCCCATAACCACCACCCAACATCCCCGTATCCCCATACCCACCACCCAACATCCCCGTATCCCCATACCCACCACCCAACACCCCCGTATCCCCATAACCACCACCCAACATCCCCGTATCCCCATAACCACCACCCAACATCCCCGTATCCCACACTTCCGCATCCACAGACTCCCGCATCTTCGTATTCTCACAACCCCCGCCCGCATCCCTGCTTCCCCGCATTCCAGAATCCCTATATCACCCGTATCCCACATCCCTGAATATTGCCATCCCCACGTCCCCACATCTTCACACCCCCATATTCCAATACCACAGGCACCCTCGCATTCCAGCATCTCTACCCCTCGCATCCCTGTATCTTCCCATCCCCACATGCCCCGCATCCCTGCATCCCTGCATCCCCGCATCCATACATACATGCATCTATCGAACCCGTCTTTCCCCCCGTATCCCCCAACGTCCCACATTCCCCGCATCCGCGCGCACATCCCTCGGCCTTCATTCCCTCATGCATCGGCGTAGCTCGCTACCCATGCTGACGCGTCTGACGTCGTCACGGCGCAACCCCGTCGCCATGCATGTTACTGCAACACGCTCTTTAAGTATCCTCGCCTCGTAATGATCCGAATGCAATCGGAGCTGGCTTCGTTTACATGTGTTTTACGAGCCGAGCCTTGCTTATATGCATGCAGAGCGGTCGCGCGAAGCCCTGATTGTGAAATTGCAGTCGCAGCACCTACAGGGATGATTCTGTCGGCGCCATGCCGGAAGAATGCGACGTAACATGTCTCGTCGCCACCAATCTTTCTAGAATAGAAAGACGATAATTTAATCGTGAACCATATATCGTTCGTTTGTCCTTGTGCTTGATCACGCCTTTGCCTAATTTTAGGTGCATCCGGAGAAAATAAGCCCGTCGGCCCGTATGCTTGATGATAGCTTGAAAACGCGTGGTTGCGTTGCTAGTCTGTACCCGTGACATCATAACGATTACGTATAAAGTTTCCTACGATGCATGCTCACTGCACGGACTCATGCGTTGCTGATAACTAAAGATAGGGGCCGATTTTGAATGAACGGACGAATGAAGGAATAAATGAGTGACCTCTAACTAACGAACGACGAACGGACGCACGGGCGCGTGGGCGGGCGAACAGACGCACGGCTGGACGTACGGACGGATGGATGGACCGGCGCGCGGCCGAGCGTGCGGACGGATGGATAGACGGACGAGTGAACGATCGACGGACGCACGGACGGATGGATGAATGGGTTAAATACATGAATTATGTGAAGGGCGGGCAGATTCTTGATTGCGCTACTCAAGAAAAACGTTGGGAACATTAGTCTTTAACCTAATTCGATCCCTAATTTAAACCAATCAGAGCGTGTCATGCTACAGCAGGCAACGCTGTTGTTTCGTGTATTTTCCCTTGTAGTAAATATTTGACAAGGCACACCGACGTTCTATCGGTATAGGTAGCGCAGCATGTCAGGCTTCAAGCATAGCACGTATATTATCAAGAGTACATAATAGGAGATTATGTCCTATTATGTCCTATTATGTCCTATATATCTTCTATTATGTACTCTTGATATTATATATCGTATCAGGAGTCTACCAATATATTGATAGACTCCTGATCGTATGATATACGTGCTCTGCTTCAAGTTCCAATGAGAACGCCTGTCTCTAATACCTTATTAAATAATGACGTTCCACACACGTAACAATAGACCTATTTATTAATTAATCGAGTGGCTACTTCGTGGAATCCTCCCAGGTGCAATTTAGCTACACGTGTACGACCTGATAATTATCTTACCACGCAGAACAGTCAACTGAGACGCATATAGTGACAAACATTGCCTCATCCATACAAAAAATCTCATATAGCGTTAACACTATCTAAGGCAACGTTAACATAAGAACCTCAGCTACAACAGGCAGTGTTGACTATAGGTAGCGGCTCCATACATGCAGAACTCCACCTTAGTGAGTATCGCCCGTATTTTCTGTTATGAAGACATAGTGTCGCGTCGATAGGTAACTGAAGTGACACATCTTCGCCCGCCTCTCATTTTTGCATGAAACGTGATATATATATATATATATATATATTTCTGTCTTCTCCTCTGCAATTGTTCTCAGAGCAGCTTGATAATATTTCAACTTAAAATGAAATGGTTTTCTGAAAAACTCAACGAATATTGGCTCTTCCTCAGTATGATCATTATCTCGGTAGTGGTCACTAGTTGTTAGCGATCACTAGCTCATGCTATAGGAATATTGGAATTAGCAACATAAGTCATGGGCGATATTAGTCAATAGAACATAGAATGGGCATATTATTACAAATATTAAATTGTGGTCATTCTGCTTAATTATTAATAATATAATAACCAAATTTCACATAAATAGTGTTTTAAAATGCGATTAACTCACACAATTATAATTGCCAATTAATAATAGCCTTATTTGCGGAAGCTAAAAATAATAGGATAGAAATTAGATGTGACATTAAAAAAATATAATTGCACAAGCGTAAATTTTAATGTCATGGTCTTTAATTTTTATTGCCGTGTATTTTGTTGTCATTAAAAGAGCAGTAAAGTGATTCAGCTAGTTTAAATCGAATATAATTGATGGATGTTTCTTTGATGTGCGCTTAGACTGGTTCCATAAGGGTTTGTTGGTATCAACTTTGTGGAAGGAACCAGAACGTCTGTTGACAGTCTATTGCACACACGTAAAATCAACATGCAGAATAAGCTATAGGATGATGACAGGAATTTTAAATGAAATATAAGCGTTGAAAGATGTAAACCAGAAAGGCGTATCAAAATTTACCGCGAACAGTTCGAATTTGCCTCGTTATCCATTTCTCACGATAAACCTTCCATTGTTGTGTTTAATGGCGTTTTATGGGTTTGTATTTTGCCGACAAATTCGTAATACCCACATTATCTTCATGATATTATGGTGCACATGCTCACGCTTAAGTTGATATAGTTTAGTAAATGTGTAAAGTTAATGCTGCGTAAAAAAGCTTTGTCTCTTTCTTAGCTTTCCTGGAGTAGGTCTAATTGTCTTTCCTGTTTGGATGTCGGTGGATTAACCGGCGCGTGCATCTATAACAATTAAGATGTGCGTAAAGTTAGGGTTATTTGTGTGCACATGATGCGCATATAATATATATATATATATATATATATATATATATATATATATATATATATATATATATTATATATATATATATATATATATATATTATAGGCGATACGATTTATATGCCCTTTTCCTTCATGAATGTTTTACATTTCGTTTTGTTTTTTTCTAACCAACAATGCAGTATTTCTTAGTAGCTCTGTGTCTGCGTTGAAAACCTGTTGGCATAGGGGTTTATACAATTTTCAGCTCGATGAAAATAGATTTAATAGGTAATATCACCAATTTCAAAGTTTTTATATATCATATTTTTAACAGTAGTTAGTTATTGAATTTTCATTAAATCTGGCAAATCATTTATGTAGGTATATATTAAAAGTTGTAATAAACCGAAATATGTAAAAGTTGAAGCAAGATAATCTGCAAACAGGTCTACATCTAGCAGCGCTCTGTTCCGCACGTCATGCGAAGGGAATGATTTTTAATTTTAGAGTAAAGTTTCAATAAAGAAGCCACGACCTGCAAGCAGAGTAAAATTAATTGGCTACAATGCCGGGCCGTAGCTAGTGGTGGGTGGCTTTATTTTAATGTTAGTATTTTTCCCCCAAATCTAAGTGAGGTAGTTGCCACAGTAACAGTTGTAATTATTCTATACAGTCCCAGGCCCGTAGCCAGGAGGGGTTCGCACGACCCCCCCCCCCGAGCAAAAAAAAACAAGAATTTTATATTTCACCTCAGGTATGCACCAGATCGCTCCATTTTGGTGTAATAATTGCAAAATATCCATCGTGTGGGGGGGACACCCCCTCCCACACCCTCCCCCTGCTCGGTCGCCTCGCGCCCTCACAAATTGCCAACATTTAAAAACGAACCCCCCCCCCAATATAAAACTGGCTACGGGCCTGCAGTCCCTCCTTTGATCGGACTGGGTACTTAGCTGTCACACTTATCTATCTGTTTGTGTCACATTGCCAAAGTTAATAAAAAATCATTGTAGGTGGCAGCAGCATCCAATCAGACGCCATGTTGCTTTTGAAACTTGGACAGTCATCTCGATTTTACCGGCATTGTGCCTAAAATTGGAGAGTAGGTACTTGATAAATCATACTAAGACATGGCTCCTTCGGATCTTCCAGTGAGTAAAGTAATAGTGCATCCACTGGTGCTATTAAGCGTTGTGGATCACTTTAACCGAATGGGAAAGGTTGGAAACATGAAACGAGTTGTGGGAGTTCTTCTTGGAGCCACAAGAAAAGGAGGAGTTCTTGATGTTTCAAATAGTTTTGCAGGTACAACCTATTGTAATACGTTAACCATCGTCACTAGTATTAGTATAATAATATTACCAAGCAAGCATACTTTTGCTCATAGGGTCTATGTCCCCCAGGGTACTGCAGGAACGTACCCTGGTCACTATTTGATATGGTTAGGGTTAGGGAGTAGGCGTAGGCGACTCCCTAGAGTCGTTAGTGGAGTAGACGAGGTATGGTTTGGCATATTAGATAGTACCAGGGTACGTTCCGGTATACCGGACCGTACCCAGGGTACGTTCCGGCAGTACCCCGGGAGACATAGACCCTCTCAGCCATACTTTTACTAGCAGGAGGTACTGAACGCTGAGTAAGGCTGAGAGGGTCTATGTCCCCCAGGGTACTGCCGGAACGTACCCTGCGTACGGTCCGGTATACCGGAACGTACCCTGGTACTATCTAATATGCCGGATCGTACCAAACCTCGCCTACTCCACTAGCGAGTCTAGGGAGTCACCTACTCCCTAACCCTAACCATATCAAATAGTGACAAGGGTACATTCCGGTATACTGGACCGTACCCAGGGTACGTTCCGGCAGTACCCTGGGGGACATAGACCCTATGAGCCTGAGTAAGTCCTGCTGGTGTTGTCAATAATATTAGGCCGTGGCTACGCGACCGGTTCCCGACGAGGAGCCGCTAGGCTACTCGACCGGTTCCCGACGAGGAGCCGCTAGGCTACTCGTCCGGACATCCATCTCACACAGTGAGCTTGCGACACGTACACGCATGATTGCGCAATGGGACGCTCTGCTGATTGCCGTGTGTGTGTGTGTGAGAGAGAGAGATGGAATGGGAATGTGTATGTGTGTGTGTATGCGTGAGAGAGAGAGAGAGCCTCAGAGAGGTTTGTGTGTGTGAGAAAGAGAGAGAGCGCGAGAGAGAGCTGTGCGTGTGTGTGTGAGAGAGAGAGGACGGATGAAAGGATAGACGGCAGCAGTGCATCCCGTTGCGCAATCATGCGTGTACGCGAGTCGCGCGATCACTGTGTGAGTGGATGTCCGGACGCGTAGCTTGAAGGCTAGGCGACCGGTTCCGGACGCGTAGCCACTGCGATAATATTAATACACGTTAATAGTTCTTGTTTATATGCATTGTGCAATGCCAATGGTGACAGCTACTGATCTACTGCTATTTCTGTTTTACCAATAATAGAAGCTGCTACTTATATCATGTAATTATATATGATTTACTTCAATGTATGAGATATCTGTCCTGCAGTCATCATCCCTTGTATACATCATTTCTTATATGTACTTTGTTACTTGCAGTACCATTTGATGAAGATGACAAAGACAAGTCTGTGTGGTTCCTTGATCACGATTATTTAGAGTCTATGTATACTATGTTCAAAAAAGTAAATGGTAAGAATATAAACAAAGTACACGTTTTCTAATTACCAGCTATCTTGCTTAATTTCCCTCTTTCTACTTGTGAGAGTCTGTTAGGCACTATGTCATGGCTATTGTTTGATATATTTGTTAACTAAAATAGCATACTGTTTTAATGTTAGTATTGAGTTATCTCAAAAGTAATCCTATAAAGTTTATCTATTGTCTTCATTGTATTGCATTCAATATACCTTTACTATGCTATTATGATTAATATAATATCATGTAAACTCATTGCAATTAAATGGAAAATGGTATTGCTACCTAAAATTGAGATTATTATAAAATTCCTGCCACGGTGCCACCACAATAATTTTACGTCTATATTATGAAAATACAAATGCTAAAACTTTCCTTTGCATCAATATCATGTTAAAATGATAACAAATGAAAGGATGATAGTACAGTTAAATATTGCTTGTCTTGTATGATAAACTAGGGCCGTCACAGCAGGGGCGAGTGGGGTCCAAGTAGGACAGTTACCCTTTCTCCAGACCAATGTTGATACCAGTATATGGTTAATAGCCAATTGCATACTGTCCGTGATCAACTGGCTAGAACACCAACCTCACGTGGCTCCTCCAAACAAAATTAGTTTTAACTACACTCCTGTGCACATAATACATGCTGTGAAGGCATTCATATAATACGAATAGCACATGTAAGGAAACACTCCAATGGAAAATAACAAAATTTTACGTCTTGAAACTATAATTAGTTATGTTAAAAATTCTATTGAGTAATTTAATACAAATATGCATAAGTATTGACCTCTTGTATGGCATACCTATACCTGTTTATTTTGATTGTTTCAGCACGAGAAAAGATAGTGGGCTGGTATCACACTGGACCTAAGCTGCACATAAATGACATCGCAATCAATGAGCTGATCCGAAAATATTGTACAAATTCAGTAAGATTACATTTCAATACTGGTAATCTATCTTTGTATAATCTACTGAGTTTGTAAGTAAATTATTAATTGTTAGCAGAATAAATGCTTCTTAGAAATACCACTTATTATTTCCAGTTGCTGCATATAAAACCATTTTAATTAACACAAATTAGAGACTCAAACAAATGCATATAATTGCAATTCATTCTTGAATACGGTTAGACAATCTTGAACATGTTTCAGTTAATTGTGTGCAGAGAAGACCTAATTTTGTATGATAATGGGTTGAAAATATTTCAGGTTCTCGTAATTATTGATGCAAAGCCAAAAGATCTAGGCTTGCCTACAGAAGCATACATTGCTGTGGAAGAAGTACATGATGTAAGCATGCAATACACTGAGTAGATCACTAATTAATATTGAGTAGCATTTGCAGATATTATGCTTAAATTAACTTGGGCTCTCTCTTCAAATAACAGAGAAAAGCAAGAAAGTTGCAGTGTTAGTCCAAAGGTCCTCCCACATTTCAGATTCTATCCAGAAATTGAACTTATTTTTATTACTATTAACAATTTTAATTTAATTGTTCCTACTATTAGTTTGCTGCTATTGGGATTTCAGGTGCAGCTTCACATTTGAGTTAGTTGCTATTGTGAAACATTTACATGAATTTAACATTTTGCTACAATTTTAATCAGGATGGAACACCCTCTTCTAAGACATTTGACCATGTTCCCAGTGAAATAGGAGCAGAAGAGGCAGAGGAGGTTGGCGTGGAGCATTTGCTTAGGTAGGTACTTATAAAATAGACGATACTGTGGGTGGTTCACTCTAATATGCAGATTAACATATTATTTATTGTTTGTGACATGAGAATTACAAGAAGACTCAACCGAGGTAAATAGATTTGTACAAGAAATAGCAATTTATAAATTTATACCAAGAATCTGGTTATAAATAAGCAGGTTTTTACAATTAGGGGTAGACAAATTCCCCCACCCACCAAGTTTGTTCCAACTGTCGACCCATTGCAAACATAATAATGATGGTAAATGTATGTATTATTCTATATAATGTTTGTGTATGTATGTGTGTGTGTTATTGTAAATGTTCTGTCAAGTATTATCGTCTGGATGGGCACATATAGCCGATTGCTTGTGATTCCACAGAGACATTAAGGACACGACGGTGGGCACACTGTCTCAGCGCGTCACAAACCAGCTGATGGGTCTGAAGGGACTCGCAAACAAGATCCAGGAAATACGCAGCTACCTGGATCAGGTGGTCACCGGCAGACTGCCGATCAACCACCAGATCGTCTACCAGCTGCAGGACATCTTCAATCTGCTGCCCGACTGCACGTTGCCAGACTTTGTGAAGTCCGTGTATGTGAAGACCAACGATCAAATGCTGGTGGTGTACCTCGCTGCTCTCATACGCTCGACGATTGCGCTTCACAACCTGATTAGCAATAAGATCTGCAACAGTGATGCAGAGAAGCGGGAGAGCTCCAAGGATGCAAGCAGCGAGAAGGATAAAAGCAAGGATAAGAAGGATGAAAAGGAGAAGGAGAAGAGTAAGAAAGACAAGGAGGAAAAGATGGATACTAGTAAATAGTGGACGCATCATCATTTTTAGATGTGAAATTTCCTGTATTATATATATAATTGACTCATTGCCATGCCATTTGTGTCTGTTTTGTAAAATCCATCATTTGTGTGAAATAAAGTTTGCGCCACCAAGTTTGTTAGCAACCACTACTCAATTGTGTCTAAAGCTGCTACATCACCACATTAAACACGCTACAGTTGCATTGCAAAAATAATTCTATTCTGTTACAGCCACTCTTAATTACAGATAGCATCCCCAACTACATTTTATCCACTGAGTTTGTGCTATGGAGTGTTCAACCTTTTTTGTGTGTTTGAGACAGTCATTGATGCACCAAAGCGAAGTTGAATGTGGCCAGTGGTAAAACGGATTGATTACTTGGTGTTTGATCATTTCAGTTGTTTTGTCTTTCATTAGGGTCCATTAACCAAGTACCTTACCCCTACTAGTGTATTATCCTGAGGAAACCCTTATGTAAAATAGAAAACTTTCATACTGGTTGTTTAAAATGTATCAATAAGGCATACTATTTGGTTCCTAGAATTAATGTGCCACTTTTGGTATAAGAACTAAGAAAAATCTCATTTAAAAAATCTCTCTGGTTATGCAGATAGCCACATATGAGCCAAAAATACTTGCTTCATACCTCGCTCAAAATATAAAACTCGTTATTGGGCAAATGTAGTGAAATGTCATTAATCGTAAATTGGGGGTGAGGTGAGGCTAGGAGCAAAATCTATATTACAGGATGATGAGCACAACTTGACAGGGCGAATTTGGTATATTATAGATTGATTATTATCGATACCCAGTGGCAGTTTTTACCCCGATGCCTTGCACCCTTGGTGATTTACTAGTTTACAGTACCAGGTTTTCCCATCCCATTAAACTATGCAATTTAGACTTTGGGTAGGAAATTACATGTATCTGAAAGTGGTACAGACTTATTGTACTGATACATATTCATTCAAGTTTCTATATTGGGGAGAAAACTCATTAGATTCACAGAAAGTTCTGCAAGCATGTAATACTTTTTCTGAATAAATATGTACATATAAACAAGTGCCGCAGAGCGACAGCGCTCAACTGATGTGTACTGTAACCGGGTATTCATCTGATAAACTCACTGGCAACCGAATCAATCAAGTGCGCCCTCCCGCCACCGCGTTGATAGGCTTTGCTATACCAGTAGTACAGTAATAATGATATAGCTGTGTAACTTTAATGACTTCGCTATATTAACGTTATCATGGATGTGTCCAGCGCGAGCGTAGTGGTGGTGGTGGGGAGAGGGGCGGGTGGAGCTCTAATAGCAAAAGCAGTTCAGTCCTTTGTTAACAGTCAACAAATCCATGTTTAACCCTCCTCTTGAGGGTCAAAAGGTTATCAGACACTTAACCTTCGCACGTCAGCGGAAAGTAGATTTCATGGTCCTTTCAATAAAGTGATAAAAATGGTAGGTCAGCGCTGAAACAAAAGAGTTTTGCACTCGATCCGTTATACCATGTCCTCAGAAAATGTCTGATATCTGACCTTTTCCCCACTGCCCTTTGACCTCCAATTTCGCACTGGTGATGGGTTTCCTCCCCATCTCACTATACACGGAATATTAAAGCGATTATTGCGAGTTTTTTTCAGCGTTTTTCAGTGTTTATTCTTACTCTCATGATGCCTACCGTTGTTGCTTGACTAACAGTAATTGTTTGAAATAACAATAAAATGTCTTAGAACCTCATGCAAAGACAAAATCATGCAAGATTACAATTTTGCGTTCTCTTGTCGATTTTCGCTGTCATGTCTCGCACTTTCTCGCGGTACCGCGAGACGTCAACAAGGGTGCAGTAATGCAAAAATCGCACCGGAGATATTTTTGGTCAGATGTAAACACAGAGGTCCATAGTATTAGTAGCGTAACACAAACAGGAGTGTACGGTAAGTTGTAACCTCATAAATATTAGTCTTCAAAAGTCCTAGGGACTATAACGAAGACGGAGAGAGGTGGATCAAATCGATATATCAACACTGCGGATTATCACACACAAATAGATGCCCCTTTGTTTTAATTATGTTTGCTTGTTCGAGACGCCATTTGTGATTTTTGAAAGTCGTGACACGAAGAAATTTATTGCTGGTATGATGTGGTAAAATCAATTTTTCTATGCTATAACTGCATAAAATCTTGGTGTTTTGAATGTTGGTGTAATCAGTGATATTTTCGCTGTCAGGTGAGACTATATTCAGCTATATTTAGTTTTTCTGAGCAAAATTCTCGCAATACTCATTTTAAGAGCGTAGGTCGAGCCGTTGAGATTTGTGCCGCATTTCCGTATTTCCTCCTATACCTTAAGTTAAGGGGGAAATATTCCCCTCCATTGACACATCTCAACCTTTGACCCCCAAATTCGACATCGCGAGTTGTTTTCGCGATCACCCCTGACGTCCCGAATATCAAGATCGTACATAGAGCGGTTAAGATTTGTGCCGTAACTGTTGACACACGGACGGACATTCATGCGATTCTACAAGCTGCATCTGACTTCGTCAGCTGAGCTAAAAACTAATGCCATGATCATTTTCATATTACAAGTAAATGTAATGCAGATATTCATACAAAAGCAAAAACAAACTGATGGAACATCATTTTTTTTCTGCTATACAAAATCTTATACAGAGAATTATTTATTTTGCCTTCTCCGCCCTTTTCCACACTCGTGGCTGCTTTCCCTTCTTAGCCCAAGTCAGCTTCCCCATCTCATGGCGGATCAAACGATTTCTCTGAAACAAAAAATCTGCTTACAGACGACAAGCAATACTATACCAGGGTTTCGTTTTCAGAAACAAAGTTAGTCTTCCCATTAACTTTGACTCATAGACTGTTAAAATAAACATGTATAGTTATCAGAATGAAGAATTAACATGAGATCCTAGATATTCTCGTAACTTTAAAACACAGAAGAAATAAATGCAATTATAGAGACATTGTACTTTTGATAGATTGGTAAAACCTTTTCATGAAAAACACACCTGAAACACTACTTATCTACCGATCGTTCACCAAAGCAAACATTTACAAATTGTGGTTGTTCTCGTGTTTTGGATATTTTGATATGTCATGATGCTCACATCTTGTATTCTTGTAACATTAGCCTTACTTTTTGATATTTCTGACAATGGGCCCCAGGTTTAAAGGGATACATTTATCTAGGTTCTTCATATATTTTCAGCCAAGATAGGTTAATATTACGCTTCATAAAAAGTTTTATGGTTCAATATTTATTAGAAATATTTTTGTTTGTTTTAAAACTGACAGCTATACCGTTGCTTACAACGACGGTGGCGCCACTGGCAGCGCACGCACTGAAAAGTTGCGCAAAGCAACGTTTCGGCTGCAGGCTACAGACCGATGGTGTTTCTTATTTCTTAATTTAAGAGCAGAAGGATTGCAATATCTTATAAACGACATACGGTTTCAGTTATATGGATAAACTTGTCCTAAAATGAATATCGTTCGGTTAAATAGCATTTAGGTACAAATATAATTGCACGTTTGTGATTAGCCCTCAGTCTGTAACGTGCAAAATAAATTGGCAAATGCGCAACTTTTTCAGGGTGGCAGCACGGTGACTGGTGTCATATCAGCACCCAAAAATAACGATTCTTTCGATCATAATATACTCTCAAATTCTAGAGGAAAGCATCCCTTTAATAACATTTTTAAGTTTGACAAATGTGGGTATGACTAGTAGACATCTATCACATTTTCAAAATTGGGCTGTATAGATTTCACAATGACCACCATTTTTATCAGATTTTTTACTCAGTAATTTGACTAAAACATGTATATATATTAGGGCTGTACGATACACAAGCCTCTCGATTCGATTCCCAAAATAGTAAAATGTTATCTTATTTTTTATATTTTCATTATTTTGCAATAATAAATTATTAGAAATTGCAAATGAATACTAAATGGTGAATAGACTAGAGAGTCTAGAGAGTATATATACACTGCACAGCCGGTGAGTAACATTGGTGAGTAACACTCAACAGTATAGTGTAGTGCCGCCATCTATTGGAGGAAAAAAGTGGTATCGAAGTGGAATCGAAAATACGGGAAAAAATATCGAGGATCGGATCGAGGGAAGAGAATCGCGATCCGATTCGATTTCGGTGGATCGTTACAGCCCTAATATATATATCTCATTAACTTTCGTTTACACAAGATGTCAGAAACTGAACCAAAAATGGTTAATTGTGATCCTGAAGAAATCCAAACGTTTTTACCACCCATACACAGTTTTACTAAGGAACACTCTAATCCCTTAAATTATGCTATGAAGACTTACCATCTGCTTTGCCTTCATCAGCTTAAACCGATCGAAGTCTGACATTACAGCTCTCTGAAACAAATAGAATGCACATTTGGTACAAGCATTCTTAATATGTGTAGATGTTAAATCTGTTGACAAATTACAAAGTTATTCATAAAAAAACATTCGAAAATTGACTAAATAGCACAAAAGATACTGCCAAGTATTTTTGATGATCACAAGCACCTGCCGTGTTGATGTAGTGTGTAAACATATTGATATGACAACTTTGAAATATACTATGGTGCAACCTAAACTGCCTCTAGTAGTGTGATCATCTCACATGTCTCTCTGTCATGTCTGGCATGTGGGATGTCTGTTTGATTTTCTGTTGTCCCTCGGGTCTGTGTATTGCTTGAATCTGAGTATGAGTGCAAGTGATTGCCGGGTTGTTTATCGGGAGTTGTTTTTAATTTTCTATGCTACCTTTTCTCTGGCATCGATCTTTTTGGCCCATGTTGTCTCCTTCCACTGCTTCTCAATTCCAGCTTCTGCCCATGCCTTTCGCACGGTGCGTGTGCGGGCAGAGTGATGGAGTTTGAGAAGGAACTTGGTGAGGTGCATACGCTTGAAGTTGATTTCCTGACGTTTCACTCCACTACATGGTCCATCAATCAGTGCCTATAGTTCAGAGATGGAAATGCATTGTAAAGGCACTGTACTAATATTTAGTCACTACCAACTCTTCGCACGACGTTACTAATGAGTTAGCTACACACAGAAAATTAACAAGAGCCGCAGAGCGGCTGAGCTCATCTGGGGTCTGTTGCTACGGTTATAAACTTCAGTCGTGCGTAGTGACACATTTGTTAGGCGCAGATATGCAGATACGCAGTTTGCGTACACTCATGTTAGGACACGCTCACTATCTCCCCCCATGCGATTTTGGTTTATTTTATTAACATGATACTTGCCTTTCACTTCGAATTTGTGTCATAGATTCACAGCTATCTAATTTTTATCTATCTATAAAAGATTTTCAACATATGAGCATGGATCTCCAAGTTTAATTAGAGGGGGCGGGGAGTCCTTCTCTCCACCTCCCTCCCCACTGCGTCCCACCTCCCTCCCCCTCTGCTCCCACTTCACTCCTCTTGCCTCTCACTTCCCCCCTTAACTCCCATCTCCCTCCCCTACCTTCGACCTCCTCCCCCTGCTCCCTACCTCCCATCCCTTGCACAACATCTCGCAACAGACCCTAATTGTACCCCTGATTTCCCGCTCGCATACACACCGTATCACCGTTTTCCTGTCCCCGTCTCAATTTACTACTCTCTCTCTCTTTATCTATCAGACTTTCTCTCTCTCTCTTAATTATATTAAAAAAATCACTTAAACCCAGCCGATGATGCCTTTTACTGCCCCCTTAATAATGCTTCTTCTCTATGCCCCATGAGTGTAAACAAGTCATAGAAAATCATAATTTAGTGTCTCTAATATTTCTATGTAACAGCTTATGTTCGCAACAACTGCGTAAATGGGATACGCAACGGCCAATAGCTACAATGATATATGTTAAGATTCAAGATGAAAAGTAATATTTATATATTATAATATGGTACTAGTTATTATTTATTCGTCTTAACAAGTTACATGAGAATAAAATCTATTTAAACTAGGCCCTATAGTTGCCGCGAGATGTGCGCGTCTTGCAAGTCGTAACATCAATAATCTCAAAGGATGGCATCAGTTCCTGAAATCGTACAGTAGGTACAGCTAAAATCCAAGTAGAGTTATCAGGCAGTTGCTCAAGCTGTGAGTTAAGCAGGCTGGCATTTGGCAGCGTTGGCAGGCAACAATTATGATTAAGAAGGCGCTGCCAAGCCATGCATGCCTGTGTTTTGCAATCCGTGAGCATTCACTGATTCATCATTCACCTTACAGGCTCTAATGGCGGGTGCTATAAACGACTGCTTTTAGAAAATCATATATTTAAGGAGCGTAAACCTTGTCTCAACAAAGCATGTTGGCCTTTGCAATTAAACTGTGCAACTGTAGCCTCACATTGACCCAAAACAAGGTATGGCCTCTAATATATAGCAAAGCAGTTCAGTCCTTTGTTGTACATGTGAACAAATCCATGTTTACCCTCTGCTTGGGAGGTCAAAAGGTTATCGAACACTTACTCTTCGGCATGTCAGCAGAAGGGACATTTCATGTCCGTTCAATAAAGCCCAAAAAATGCTAGGTCACCGCTGAAACAAAAAAGTTTTTCAATTGGCTCTGCGCAGACCATGTCCTCAGAAAATGTCTAAATCTGCCCTGTGCCGCAGCTGACCTTTGGACTGTGACCTCCAATTTGGCCACAGGTGATGGCATTTTCCTACCATGATGCTATACACCGACTATCACGAGCCTAGGTCAAGCCGTTTAGATTTGTGCCGCAATTCTGCATTTCCTCCCTATACCTTAAGTTAAGGAGTGAATGTTCCCCCTTCTTTTACACCTCTTGACCTTTGACCTTTGACCCCCAGCTTCGACATGCCAACTCGTTTTGACGATCCCCCCCAACGACCCGAATATCGTGACCGTACGTCGAGCGGTTAAGATTTGTGCCCAACTGTTGACGGACGACCGACCGGACGCACGGACGGACGGACAAGCGATTCTACAAGCTGCATCTGACTATGTCAGATGAGCTAAAAATGATAGTAACAATTCGGAATGATAAACTAATCACAAATGCATTCACTAGAAATGATCCCAATGTGTTTAATTGTCCCCTTGCACTTTTCGCTTTAATGAGTCATGGTTATTCTTACCTTAATCTGTTTCAAACTTCAAGAAAAATCACCTGATTATAATACCAAACCAATTTTTCTATGATTTGGCTACTCAACCAACCTTGACAAATGTAAATTAACTACACACAGGCACGCACACACACACACATGGCACATCGAAACCTCTTTTGCTTTACCAGCAAATCATAATTCACAAACTTTTTCAATAACTTACCCTGTTTTGATCAATTACGTCAACAATAACACACAGCTTGCCATGGTCAGTTCCAAACGGAATGTAGGCAATGCGGCCAGCCTCAACAAACTTTGTGAACGGCTAAGAAAAAAGGAATAGACTTGGCTTAAATTAATACGAACAAGAAAGCTAGTTAAAAACAACCCGAATTCTACTGCTAGTTGCAATTCTCGACATGCTTTGCTTTCATAATGTATTCCCAGCAAGCATTTTTTAGGGCGCAGGCAGGCACATGATGTGGCCTAGCACCATCCAGATAAATACTGCCAGTGCTATGTCGAGAGATGTTGATTAACTGAGGTGGCATCAGCAATCGAGTAACATGTATAATTGGGAATAGATGGTGAAGTACTAATCATACTCCTGTTTATTTGATAAGCTTTTGACCATCTAGCTACGACACTGTAGCCCTGTTTTATACCTGAAAACACTTAAGAGACGGCTACAGTACGGTCGATGGCAATGACAATGTTCCTTGCGGAAGAGTAGGCGCAGCAATTCACATATTCTGACTCAGTGACTGTGCCTGTGGTAATGTTTTGCTGTTTAACTAGTACGGGGCATGTTATTGTTACAGAGATTGAGTAAATTTATTAGTTTCGTACCAGATATGTAACCTCAAGCTCAAACCATTAACCCCAATAAGTCCTGGAACTGCTCCACGGGAAAACTTGCCTGTGTCCTATCATAGCCCGACCAGGCTGTGCGACGGATTGTCTATACACTAACGGTGTTCTAACTCTAGCAATACCGTTTTTTGAAGCTAGTCCTATCATAGATACAATAATGTAACCCAAACCCAGGATAGGGTTACAACACGTCGCTATGGTTTTCTGTGGAGGAAATTCAGGGAACCCCTGAGTGAATCACTCAGGGCGGTTTGCTGGTGCGTTTTCAAAGACTAGAACTTCCAAACTGGGTTTATTCTCAACACGAACCTTTCTCCGCTATCTTGGAACTTACTATGTATCACAATACTCTGTATTAAACTAATATAACCTGTCACAAAAATTCAAAATGACGAGCGGCGGATATTTTGAGCGCCATTTCTGTTGACCTGTGACGTACGCATTCCCAATGCGCATAGCGATCGGCAAACGCAGCGCCCTCCGATTGGTCGGTGAATCCGCTCTTCAAACCGAAGTACGTCACAGGTCAACAGAAATGGCGCTCAGTATATACTATATTCGCCGCTCGTCACTTCTAATTTTTGTAACAGGTTATATTAGTTTAATACAGAGTATTGTGATACATAGTAAGTTCCAAGATAGCGGAGAAAGGTTCGTGTTGAGAATAAACCCAGTTTGGAAGTTCTAGTCTCTGAAAACGCACCAGCAAACCGCCCTGAGTGATTCACTCAGGGGTTCCCTCAATTTCCTCCACAGAAAACCATAGCGACGCTTTGTAACCCTATCCTGGGTTTGGGTTACATTCAGCCTAAAAAATACTTTTTTTATTACGAGAGCTCTTTTTTGATTTTGTATGAAAAAAAGAGCTCTCGTAATTTTGTTTACGGGAGCTATTTTAAGCTTGGCCAGAGCTACTTTTTCATAGCATGATTTTGTTAAAATTTTCATAATTTTAATGCACTGACTCTAATAATGTCTCAGAAATTGTGTCTAATTATCGTAAAGGTGTTTCCCAAACAAAAGTCAAGATTATGCTTTGGCGAAAT